TTGGGCTTTATAAGTGACTGGCTGTTCATTCTCTTGTATTATTCTTTTTTTTTTTTTTAACTGATCCATGGATTGCCTACTGTTGTATGTTCCCTACACGTTTTCTTATTGTTGGGGCTGTTTGGAAGTATATCCTTTCTGAAATAACACAAGCAATGCTTTAGCTAAATTTCATATTTAAGAAGATCTATTTATGCGGTCAAGTTATGAACAGTCTTAATAAGTATTTATATAATTTGCCCTTGGCCTGATGTTGGATCCACTGCTGTTAGTATCTCTGCTCTTCAGATTGCTACAGTGGGAGTTAAGCAACTCTGGTTGTCTAGGCTGAGAAGACTAGTTTTTGTAAGATTATTTTCTCATTAAGACAAAATCAAGAAATTATTTGGGAAAAGAAGTAACAGGCAAAAATTGCTAAAGGTAATGCAGCTGATGTTATCTTTCCTATTAAACTGATATGCTCACTTTTAAACCAGAAGTGATATGAGACGGGCCAGGGATCAATAGCAAATGAACCAAAGTCAGTTTACTGAAAGAAGTGAGATAGTTTGAGTGTCAGCCTAGCAAAGAAGAATAGCACACTGTAAACTTGCAAATTATTCCCATCACATGTCACCAAGTTAACTGTGCCACCTGGCTTCTAAAAGAGTGCACCATGTCCCTTCTCACCTCCATCTTATGCACTCTCAGATCATGCCTTGAGTATCTGTCCTGCTTCTGAGTATTTGGTTGCACTTGAGAGCAATGTCTCTATAAAGGGACCAAAGAGCCTCTATGACAGAAAGTATTAGTAGCACAGAACTAAGTAGTTTAAGTAAAAACAGATCTTCAGAACAATAAATCATTCTATACTCATGCCTGCCTTTGCCTAAGGGTCATAATTCTCAGGAACTGGGGAACACCCACCTTCCTTAGACTTTTTCACAGCCTCCCCCGGTGGCAGCCTATCTTTCTACAAAGGGCAGACAACTGAATCCCTACCCCTTTCCTAGGAATGTCTTTTTAACTGTTTCATGTTCTTTGTGCTCTTTTTTGACAGAGCAGCAGTGCCACTGTGGCCTGCAGCCTGGAAGTATGTCATTGTCTGCAATTGCTTCCCCTTTTGTGAAAGCTGGGAGGCTCACAGATTCATAGCTTGTATTGCTTTCTCCAAATGTCCTCTTCCCTCCTCCCAGTATTGAATTAGATCCATTAAAATTTCTTCATGAAGCTCTAACAACTCATAGTTGAATGGTTAACCCAGTCTTCTTGATATAACCACTAGGGTTCATAGAGGTTTTGCCCCTTTTGGTCTTAGGTTATTATCTTGCACCTCCACATTGATTGGAGTCTCACTGAAGTCAATGGGAGGTAGGGCAGGAAAAGCCTGAGCAAGAGAAAGGTAGGCAGGAATTTGCCACTGTGATAAATATGACTTGAACCAGGCATGAGTTGACAGAAGCAAGGTTTTTTTCCTAAATCTTGTTAGTTTCATGGATGGGAAGATGAAGAATCATTGAGGGCCAGTGGAAAAAAAAAAACTAAGAAGTAGAGAAAAAATTGCCAGTGGCAATTAAAAGTTATTTTTCAATTGAATTAAGACTATTGCCCTTACTTCAAAGGCAATCTTTTATCTCATTTTCTAGATCTTGCAGTTTAAATGGTACTGATGTTCATATCAAAACACATACTTTTGCTCTTCCAGGAGTAGGTTATTTTAATTTTACATTTAATAAAATCCTAATGTAGTTGAATGATCAGTCTTCAGAAAATACACTTGCATACTCTAGAAATTGATACCAGTTCCAATGGTTTTTGATGTAGCACTGCAGAAGTCTAATGATTGCCTTTGTCTCTGTATTTCACCAGTCTGGTGGATAAAATTCTTTCATAGATACAGCTGTAGATTTATACGGTTCTCCATGCTTCCATTTTTAACATGGTCATAAACTAAGCCTCTCAACAATGAGCCTTTGGTGTGTTATCTTTACATTTCTAAGGGCATTTCTTACTGAAGAATCATATGTATAGATTGTATTGGCTTCAGTGAGCCTCTATTCAACCACTTCAATCTTCCTGCGTAGAGAGCAGGGTGGGGGCCAAGAGACAGCAAGCTGTCCCAAAACCACACAGTGATTCAGTGATATGGTTGGAACTGGAACTGAGTGGCTGCTAGCTCTCAGCTTTGTCTTAAGTACATTAGGGAGTAATGCTTCTCATCTTCTGCATTCCCGTCCGTATGAATAAATGGGTTTATACTCCAAGGAATTTCATGAAAGCTCCCAAAAACTTGAGGATTGCAACCTTAATAGTGAGACCAGAACCTCTTACATAATCCTAGAAAAATGGGTAGCATGAGCTTAAGGTTATCATTTATCAGTCTGGAGGTTGTGGATCATTTTTTTCAAGTGCAATCTAAGGGGGACAGAAGTTCTGACTTCCTCACAGAGTGGCACTGTTATTAGCATTTCACTGTTTCAGGCAGAGACAGCTTTTCTCTAAATAGCTATTTCTCTAATAGAAGCGGAACATTTAGAGATGTTACACTGACAGTGCTACTTAACGGGGACTGCTTTTAAGAAAATAACCCCTATCACTGCATTATCAACAGTTCCATTCTGTATGAGGATTTTTGTTTTGAATTAACGTGAGCCCCAGAGAGAGCTGTCCTGTCTTATGACCTGGTATGTTAGGCAAGCAGTGGGTAATCTGTCCTGGAAGGGGGATATTTAGATGGGACTAAGAATGGAACTAAAGATTCCCTGACATTTCCTGAAAATAACATCTGGATCTGTGTGAACTGGCTTGGTAAATATTTTTGTATGATACATATGCTGTCATTTGCATGAGTAGTAGTCTGAATACCTGCATATATTACATTGCTTCTATAAAACAGTCATTTTGATAACCTCAGTAGTACTTGTACAGTCCCTAGGATTTGATCCAGGATTTATTCCCAAGTAACATTTAATTTTCTTATTTAAAAGACATCAGTGAAAGGAGCCAGCTATAGCTGTATCTGGAAAAAAAAAAAAAAAATTATATGATAGTTGTGTTATTCCATATTTGACTTTTTAAGAGTGGCTTTTGGTGGGTTGGAATCTGTCTCACTGTTTGGAAAAGATCATGAGAAGATCAGTGTCACAGACACTTTTCCTTCTTCAGATGGACGTAGACATGAAGCAGAAGAAAAGGTGGCATTTTAGGAAAATGTGTTTGATTTTTACTTCATTCTATATCATTCCCATAAGCTTCTATTTAAAGCCATCACCACATTTTGGCTGCCACTTTTACTGAATCTATTTAAATACATTTTGAAGGTGAATTACTTGGCTGTTTGACATTTTTGTTCTATATTATGCTGCAGCAATCTATCTGATTTGCAGTCAGATAGAAAGTGTTACAGCTTGAAAATAATAGGTTTCAAAGCCTTTTTTTCCCCCACCTGTGCACACAAAGGTCTTCCTACATTAATAAAATATAAGGCCATCAAATGAAGAGAGCAGCTTGTTGGAAGTGCTGGAAAAGAACTGACATTTAAATTAATTTTTGAAAGTATAAATTTGAAACTTATGAAAAGAACGAGGTGTGTCTAGTGAAGTTGGATAAAGGAGCGATGAATGCGAAGGCAGTTTTTTTAATGTGCTTAGCAGACCCAGCTGGAGTCTTTCAAAATCTGGCCCTTACCACACACACAAAAAATATTTAAAAATAATAGTAACACAAAGTCTGATTCTCACATTGCCCTGTGTAGCCTCAGTGAAATAGCAGACATGCAAGTGGTTTGGAGATGAACCGCAAGGAACCAGCCAAGGATATATCATTTCTTCAATATCATTTTACTGTTGGAGTTTTTTTTCACTGTTGGATAATGATGAAAAGGCAGAGTATGTGCCATCTAAAGTCTATATTGTTGGCAAGAGAAAGCAAATATAGGAGTTACATTTTTATTTTCTACTTTCATATTTATAAATAATATTCTCATCTCGTAAAAAAAATTACACATCTATCACCATTTAATACCATCGTATAGAAAGTAAGTCTTTGAAGCTCAGAGAATTCATAACTTAAATCTGTATTATCAGTGTTTTAATAACCATGTGTGTTTGTAAGGCTCATCTACAAAATGAGTAAAAATGGTAAAGAAACATTTTACAGCATGCCATTGAACCCACCAGACTGATTCTGGCAGGCTCCCAGTCCGAGTATAGTCCTCAGCCTTTTATAGTTTGTTCCCTATCTACATGACAAAAAGGATGTATATCTCCTCAAAAATGTGGCATTTGGTGGCATTTCACAAGGCCCTGATTTGGTACTGTTTGGCAAGTCAGGAAGCACCAAGAAACAGACTCTCAGTTCTGGAACCCACTTTTCTCTTTACATCCAAGCAGCCTGCTGCATTCATCCCCAGTGATGTCATGTAAGACTTGATGCTCACCCTTAGCTTTGGGAAGAGTTGTGCGCAGTGACAGGCACCACCTTGGTTGTAAACATCATGTTCTGTGTTCGTGGCAATTTTCCATTTTTATTTTAAGTTAGAGAGTGAAGACTGAAAATTGAGGTTAGGCTATTTTGACATTTTAAATACAAACAGAATTGGGTGAAAGGGAAGATAGCTTTGGGAGAAACCTTGTTTAAATTTTCGTTGAGGTACTAAGGTTGGGAATGTATGGAGTCATAAAAAGAGAAGGAGCTTTCTTAGTGTTTGGTATGAATGCTCTGAAAGGTAAACTTATGTCATCCAGTGTATTTGAAATCCTGATACATTTGACTCTTCAACTACAGTGAGTACTGATTGCTTTTATAACTAGAATCGATTATGCTGTTGATTATTCAGAGTCTGATGGTATGGCAACAACAGCCACAGAATGCAAGTGCTGTTTTGTGCAGCATGCTAATAAAATAAGGGAATAAGTTTATCCACTTGTGTCCTGAGGCCTAAATTTGTAAATTATATACTACAATGTCTTTGGAAATGGGTTTGGTCTACAGGATTATTTATAAACTTTGTCTCTCTTCAGAGTTAAAGAAGCAGAGGAAGTCTGCAGGCAGAAAAAGGGGAAGTCGCTATACAATATAAGACCAAAACATGACTCTGGAATTGTAAGTAAAAACTGTAGCGATACTTCTGTTCCCCTCACTCGTTCTACCTTCTTCTCTTTGCATTTTATAGGCATGTTATTCTTAATGAACGTTCTTGTTCTCTTGGGTTTTTTTTGGTTTTGGTTTTTTTTTTAATGTTTATCATTTTTATAGAAGGTGTTAGATTAACAAACTTGAATGCTGCCTATTAATATTATTCCACAAAACAGATGTAGCACAAGCAAGAGCAGTGCATTATTGCCCCACCCTGCCAACCTGTCTGCATCCAGTCTTAGTGTGGGATGTAACTAGAAGGCAGAAAGGCAGTTTCAGTCTCAATCTTATTCGGTCAGTATTCACTCTCCTTTCTACAGTTACAAAATGTAAGGAAGAGTTGTGATAGGTACACATTTTTCAAGTTGGATCCCTGTATGAAATACTAGTGGATTCTGTTCCACTGATCTGGATCTGCTTGGAATAAAAACATTAGAAAAAGATAATACTGTGCTCTCACCATTCTTCTGAAAACAAATAACTAACTTTAACGATACAGTGGAGGAGTAATTCTAGTCATTCAACAAAACTTTTCCACTATGATTGCCTAAGCATTGCTAGGATCGTGACTGATTTTACAGAAAATAGATAGTCCTCTAATGAAAAATTAATCTGGCACCTCACATTAATATTATACTTGCAGCAACTGCCCATCAAGTATATTCGTAAAATATTGTAACAGAAGATTTTTTTTCATGTGTCTGTGTCCCTGTCTGTTCCCCTCCAGCACGATTTAATTCTTTTGTGCTTTGTAGTTGTGGGCTGTTACTGTGACACATCCTTGAAACGAAGCAGGTGGTAATTTACTGTATTCCAAGTAACATAATCTGACACATGAAGAAATCATTTTGCATTTATTGTTTCTTATTCAGAACATTTAGAGAGAGTTAGCTGTGCTTAGTGCCACAAGAAATGCAAATAGAGTAACAGCTTGGTGAGGAATGATAGATTTTATCACTTTTATATGAAACCGGATCAAGATGTTATTTCCAAAAAAGTCCCCCAAAAAAATAACACTGATTTAGATTTCTCCATCTCACCTATAACTTGCTGTATGTAAAGACACTGATTTATTTTTTTAAGAAATAACTAGAGGCTTAATTATTTCTGTATTATTATTATTATTATTATTATTATTATTATTATTATTATTATTATTATTATTTGCACTGAAACTGTGACGTTCAGTGTTACTGAAAATTTGATAGAGCAAAAAGGAAAGTAAACAAATATTTCACAAGCAGTGTGTAGCTGCAGTCTGCTTCAGTTTTAGCTTCAAAGGAAATTTATTTGTGGTCATTTCTATAGTAAGTATAATTGAACATTAGCGTTTGTATTTCTGTGCTGTTCATATTTGTGTGAGGTGGTTTTATGTATACTCAATTTTCTGGTTTTTAAAATTTATTTTATTTTTCAGAAAGCAAAGATAAGTATGAAAATCTGAGAGAAGAAAAGTAAAAGCCATTGTTACCTGGTTACCAAGACTCAACATGCCTGTGGGTGGGGAGTGAGGGGGAAGGAAACTACATCATCCTGATCATTTGTTTTCTTGACCTTTTTGAATTCGCTTTTTGTTCTCTAGAGTTTTCTACCAATTGATGTGTTATTGTACATTCATTCATGAATGTGATCACTTTAATGGAGTGCCCAGCAATATACTAGGTATGGACTTGGAACACCTTCCCCGTACTTTATATCTCCTTTGCCACTCAAAAATTACATTTTGTAAAGTGTATGGTATATTACAAATAGGCCAAGTCAGCATGCATCAAAACCAGCATCTGCATCAGTTCTGAACATGCTGAAAATTGCATTAAGTTGAACTTCATAAGAATGCTACTCGATATGTAAAACATTTCCATTCCTACTGGCAACATCTGTCTAACACAAATACTTCATGGCACTGCACTTAGATTAGGGAAAGAAATGTTACTCCTAGTGAATTGTTTGTATCCGTTTCACGTTGGCATTTGTAGTTTGTATTTTGAATCGTTAAGTGCTGTTTATACAGTATAATCAATGCTTTCCCAACTTGTTTGGTTGCCCTCCATGACTAAATATTTGTGGAACAAGATGTTTACTGTAACTATCTTTAAAATCGATAAGGCAGCATACTTTTACTTCATCTTTTGCCAGATAGTGAATGCCAGGTGGTATGGGGGTCAGAAATCCAGAATTTAAAAAAAAAAATAAAAAAATAAATAAAGTGAAAAGCAGGAAAATGCAGAAAAGCACAGAGTATGATAGAGAGTATGAGAGATTTGGCTGTTATAGTTTGTTATTATATAAAGCAGCTAATACTTTTACATGAACTTTAGAAGGTATAGTATAGTTTTAACTGCTGATCACTTAAGTCAGACAGGCTTTTGGCCACATGTACATGACTTCCCTTTTGGAATTAGCTTTACAGTTAATTTAAAACTCCTTTAGAGAGCCATTAAAAGACGCACATGGGGATTGACATTTATGGAAAACTGTAGCCAATTCTAGTGACAGAACATAGACTACCAACTAATTGTCATCAATTTCACACTTAACAGAATTGCAGACTTTTCCTCCAGGCTTTCAGTGTCCCTGACTAGGAGGTTAGTGATTGAAATCTGTGATTTAGGGCTTCCATTTTAGACCACATCCTTAATTTCTATTTGCAAACCAGAATTTACTATATCAGTTTTGATCTGCTCAACCAATAACAACCCCTTCCTCCAGTTCTAATTTAAGAACGCCAAACCAATCAGCCTGTTTGATAACATTTTTCTTTCAAAGCGCACTTTTCCTGAAAGCAGACTGTGTGTGCAGCTGAATTGGATGCATATGCTCACAACCTTGGAGCCTGAAAGACACTGGGGTAAGGCAAATGAGCTCTAACCTGCTGGGTTGGGTTATTCCCTGTCTAATCTAGCACATCAAAAGACTCCTAGCTGTCCAGAGGCTAATATACCCTACAGGGTATCATAAAAGGAAGTGCGAAATATGACCTCAGGAATCTGTTATTCTTCACGTATATCAAGCACTAGAAAAGATGGGTTTTTTCACTATGTGAAAAGCAAGTCTCCTGTTGCTGACAAACCTATGTGAAAATCTGTACTTGTAATAATTTCTGTCAGGGATATAAATTACCAAGAATGGAGTTCTAAAATTTTGTGTTGATGGGAGTAACATTACTATTTGGGGAAGTGAAGAGATTATTTGCTGTTACAACTAACTTATGGAAAAACTTTAAAAAATAAAGCTATTTTAATGGCACTGATTCAAATCCATGTTTGTATTTATGTAAACAATAGTCTTTTCCTCTTAACTTTGCTCCTAAGTGCAAGGATACAGTAGCATGTTTTCATTTGTAGCCTTCCTGTTCCCTTCAGTACCTACAGTATGTAATTACTATACTAAATGAAACAGATCATCTAACAAAGATCACTATGTGCAATACTGTATTTAGTGTTTCTATTTCAATTTTTTTAGAATGTTAATTTATATGAAAATAAAAGGAATAATAACAAAATAACTGCCTTCTCTCTTCAATGTCAGGCTACGCTGTAGTGCTAGCAGCTGTTTGATCCCTAAGCACCACATCCCATTCAGGCTCCTGCAATCAAGAAAAAAACCTTTGTGAGGGGATCGGTGGATGTGGGGCTTCTCTTTCCTTGCCTTTTGGAAGCATGACAGTAATTCCCAGTTATGTGGATATCGTACCTTTTCCCCAGGTGGTGGTAGCGAGGAGCTTCAGAGTCAGTCAGACTCGATGTATTTATCACTTCTCTGGCTTGTGCATGCCTTCTAGTAGTGTATTTAGCTCAGGTTTGTAACCCGTTCCTACTACTACTTTCTACGTAACAGTCTCATGAAATTGTGATTAGGGAAAAAAAATGCATTAAAAAGTGTTATCTGCATATTGTAATGTCTTTTTATAGATATAGATATGTTTTATATCATTAAAGTGTTGCCCAGCAATCTGGTAGGACTGTCACATACATACATACTACCCTTTTCACTGATCCGCAACATGGATGCTAAAAGTTCTTTGCAAACCTTTATCTCTGAAGATCAGTGTCAAAGGCTGACTGCAGCTGGTGATACCATTGTTATGATCTGAAGATACAAGCTGCTATATAGACTTTCCTCTTTCATTTTACTCAGGCCCAACCTCTTTGGTTAAACATGCTTCTCTTATGTAGCTTCTCTTCAGCCTGTTTTCAAACGTCCATAAAAAGTGAAGTAGCCCATTATGTGCAGCACCAGAGTTCACACACAGCACTCCCAGAGTGGATTCCCAGCATAAGTTTCACTGCTGCTCTTTTTTTTTTTTTTTTTTTTCAGTTGCACTCAGCATTTTACAGAATTTTGGACTAAGGTTCTTTTTGTTTAGGTGTGTTTTAAAGAGGTCACACATCCCACTGGTCCCCTCTCCACCCATTTACTGCAACATCAAGCATGCTACACTTTGAGTTGGCTGTAGTCCTACAAGAGTTCTCATGGACAAAATTCGGAGCCTTTGTTGATCACCAACACCATATATCACTCACTGTTACTTAAACAAGTGCAGCAGCTAAATAAGGACTTTCATACCTGAGCAGCAGATGTGACTTACTAACAGTCTGGTTTTTTTTAATGAGGAGCTAAAATTCATGTTCTCTTACTTCCAAATTAAAGCCTTTCAGAAGCATGGTACTTAGTCACGTTTCATGACACAGTAGTGGTTAGCTTTTTTTGTAGCACCTTTCATCATCCCAGAGCACTTCCAAAACTTGGTTAAGCATTAACCAACAGTGGCAGGGGGAATACAAGTTATGTCATCTTCCATAGACTGGTGTTTTTTCTTGCCCAGTTTTTCAATGATGTGCTTAAAGAGTTGGAAGCAGTTCCTAATTTCACTGAGAGAAGATATAGCAAGTCTTTGCATTGCAATTATTTTGTTGCATTCTGTAGGTTAATAAGCAAAGCTGAGTTTGTGCCAAGTCCATTATATCACTTACTTAAGTTACATCAAATTTAAATGACTATGGACAGAACGAGTGAAAACTGATGTGGTTGAGCTTTTCTGATGATAGTGTGACAGGTCAGCAAAGGGAGGAGACAGAAAACCATGCCCCACACCATTCAGGTCTGCCACCCATCAATCAAATGGGATTCATGTTACAGAACTGGTTTTCCAAGCCATTCTCTTATGACAGACCCACCTATACCTGTTCTGTACCTGACATTCATCCAACCTACTTCTAAAGGCATCCACTGGCAAGTCCATTGCCTCAAAAAGATGGTCTTTTTCTGAAGATAAAGGATCCCTGTAGAGTCAGCACTCTTTCCTCATTTATTCCCAGCTGCGGCTCAAATTTCAACTCTTAGAAACTTTGTCACTAAGTCCAAACTGGTCCCTGCCAACATGGCACTTCCATGGTTAGAGCTTAGCATTGCCTGTCCCCTTCCATCCCCTGTCCCACACCACCACTGTAAGACATACTGGATCTATCTGACCTAAAGCTTCTTTCATCTGCCCTAAGAGACTTGCCTTGCTCTTGGATTGCTTCCACAAAGAGAAATTTTTTTGGATTACAGCATACACCTCTTGTACGGTGGTTCAAGAGTTGGGCAGCAAGAGGCTGAGAGAGCTGGAGCTGGAGCCTAGGCTGTACCACAAACAGCAGAGGTTCAAGTGGGTGCTGGGCAATGAACCTACCTGCAAAGCAGGAGAGTGGCTAAGAGACAGGTGGAAATGAGAGGGGCAGTGGAGGAAATGGCTGCCTGAGTCCCTTTTGAGCCTGTCAACTTGCGAATTCTGGGCAGAGGTCCCTGACCGCGCCTAGGTAGCTAAAGCACAGCAAAGTAATTCTCAAAACCCAGCTACTAAAAAAAAAAAGAAGTCCCCAAATCCATTAAATTGCTGAATTGTGAGAGGATTTGGCAAGAGATGAGGAAGGGAAGGGATAAGAGAGCTCCTGCAGGTGTCAGTTATAGTGCCATAAAGACCATCGCTTGCTATAGCTCCCTTGCTAGTTGTGGTCTAGGTGCTCCCACTTATTTCAAGACTCATGACAGGCATCTCTTCTGGACACATACACGCTCAGCGTGAGAACTCTCTTTCCTCACTGAAGGTTTCCTTCAAGATTACTTTGAAACTATCTTTTCTCTGGCTTGGAAAGAAAAAAAGTACTACCCTACTTTGAAGAGACATACAGTGTATAGATTCAAGAGCTGATAGCAACCATTAAAGATACCCTATATCTTAAGATACCTTATTTTTTTTTCTTTCTTCCCTAGGAGTAGTTTCATGCCTGTTACATAAAAGTCTCTAGCTATATTTTAAGCTAAACCACTTAGGTCAGGGTAATAGTTACTTCCCTTACCACAAATGATGCCAGCAGTTCAGCCAGTGGTTGAGCTTTGGTTGTCATCTTGTCAGTTAACCAAAATAAACAGAATTTGTGCATGCGGAATCAACTCCAGAATCTAGGATTAGTGCAATTTATTCTTCCTTCTTGCCTTGTAGATTACCGGGGGGTGGGGTGCAGGGGAAGGTGTGTATGACAAGGGAAGAAGTAGGTAGGTTTTTCCCAAGCTGAAAGGGTGAGCCACCATTTACCTGTATCGGGTAGGGTCAAAAGGAAGACAGAGAATATACTGATTAGAGAGGAGCTGGACACAAGGTGTTGAAGCAAAGCCCGTACACCTGGATGCCATATAACCCTAGAGTAACTTTATTATTTAATCTATAATTTAATAGTAGACCTATAAAATAATTACATTATACTTAAAGCATTTCTTCATTTTTTGTTTTCATTTATAAAACAAAAATTAAATACAGTTTTAACCATTACAAGCTCAACCCAGTTTTTACATAAACACAGCTCCTAGAAGGAGCTTTAAGCTGCAGCATATTCATATTGCAAACTGGTGTAAACCCAGGCAGGGCATAGCTTAAAGATAAAGAATCTTGCACATTTTTCTTAACTGAAGTTACTAGGGTGCTTTTCTCTCTCTAGTCCAAAACGCCTGACTTTTCATTTCTTTCAAGAGGAGACTGTGATCCATGGAGTCTTAGTAGACTATAAGCTTTTGACACCTTCATCCCCACCCCACCCACCCCAACACCCTCAAGCATAGATGAACTGTGCCCATTTGGTGGCTGGCACGACGCTGTGGCGGTGCAGCAGTGACAGTCTCCGCAGCAATCCCTGCACGAGGAGTCTCCCTGTGCACTCCTGATATGCTGAAAGATCACAGCAGA